TTATCTGTTTAGGTTGAGTTCGGCCTTTATCTTCTAATTGTTAAAGAATTTTGGTCAATTGGTCTTTTCAAGTTCTATCAATAAAAGGGTTAGAATAATTATGCGATAAAGAAATAAGAAATTGAATAAGTTCATCTTGAACTTTCTGAAAAATTTTTGTTTCTGGTTCTATTTCAAGAAAAAAATTGGTGAAGTTAAATTTACTTCTGGTTTTGTATCTGGTAGAGGATTATTCAGAGTAGAGTCAATTTCTGGGTTTTTGGTTAAGATGTTATTCAAAAAGACTTCTAAATCGATAAAGTCAGTTAGAATGTCTACTGCAGTATTTACTAGGGAAGTAATATCACTAGTATTGTTAGGATCATTAGAGTTTCACAAAAAGATATTAGAAAAACAAATTTTTAAATTGTTTTGGATAGCAGAGTCCTGTTTCCAAATAGTAAGAAAGTATTAGAAGGCTTGGATAGTTATGAGTTACAGAGTATTGTTATATATAGTAATTATGTATTGTGTATAAATTAGAGAATTTCTAAATAAAGTGTCTATTTATAATTTTTAAAGTTATACGATTATCTGTTTCACAAAATTTTGTCTTTGTCTCTCTTTATTCAATAAAAATTTTTTCAGAAATTATAGATTTTTAATTATAATGATTGGTTTCCATATTTGTTTCTTATAGTACTTTGTTAGTCAATCACTATTATAATACTTATATAGTATTTTTTTATCTAATGTTCATAGTTTATAAGCTCCATTATTCAGTTTTGTTTAAATAATATAAAGTCCTTCTCTTTTGTCTTCAAATTTAGCTGATCTTGATTTTTTTAAAGCCTTTATTTGTATCCAAACTTTTTCACCAATTTCAAATTTTTCTGATCTGATTCTGATATCAAAATATTCTTTCTGGTTTTCTTGAGATTTTTCTGTATTTATTCAAGCTTCTTCTTGTACTTGAAGTAACTTTTTTATTAAATTGTAGACTTGTTGTAATATACTATCTTGCAAGTCTATTTCTGTATCTTGGTTTGGTAGTGGTTTGGTAGGAAAAATAGTTTTGATAGGTAGGGTAGCTTGTCTTTATAAACTAACTAGAAAGGTATATAGCTAGTGATAGCATATCTTTTGATCTAATATGCTAATAGAATAGCAGATATATAGATATCTTAATCTTTGACTATTTCTTTTATTTTGGTGAGCGATTCGCAAAGTGTTCTATTTAATCATTCATCCATTCTATTGGTCTATGCATGGTATAGCAAAGAGAACTTGTGTTTGATAAGAAACTTTTTACATAGTATTCAAATAGTAGTATTAATAAAGTTTCTTTTTTGATCAGATAGAATTATTTTAGGAGTTCCATATCTACAAATAATTTCTTTAAAGATGAATTTGCTAAGGTTTTAGCTCCAGCGTCTGATACAGCATAGGCTTTTGGCTATTGAGTTAAATAGTCTGTTGCTATGATAATATAGGATTATTCTGGTTTGTAATTGGTAGAGATTCAACTAGATTAATTCTGATTCGTTCAAAAGCTCGTCTAATTTGAATTGGGTGTAAAAATTCTTTTCTTCTTCTTTTTAGTCTTTTCTGACAGTCTTCACATGTTTGTATATATTTTTTAATATCTCAGTATATTTGGTCCCAATAATATCGTTTAGCTATTTTATAATATATTGTGTCTGTTTCTAAATATTTAGCAGTAGGGTGTTTATATATCATATAAAGAACAGGTTTTATTTCTGTCTATTTGATAACTCGTAAGGGTCTATTTAGGTCTTTTTTATTCTTTTTATAAAGTAAATAGTATCTAAACTCGAAGTAACAGGCTTGATTAATTAATTGTTTTGTCTAGTTTTTAGTAAAATCTTCAGGTATCGTGTCTGTATCTAAGTACTAATATAATTGATGATATCAGTCTAAATTCATGAGAACTTGGTTTCTTTGGTTTGAGTCTGTAATTATGAAAAGGCATCAATATTGAAATATATTTGTTCTAGTTTATGAATAATCTCAAAGTTATAGGGCTATAACTTAAGTATTCAGTGGTCTAATCTTCCTTTAGATTTAACAGTACATAATCATTTAAGAGCATAATAGTTAATAATTAAAATAAACTTAGTAGCTTCAAGATATTTGTGAAAATATTCAATAGCCCATACTATAGCAACATATTCTAATTTGATAACACTATAGTTCATTTCTTCTTTCTTCAGACTTTTACTAGTATAAGCTACAGGATATTTCTTATTATGGCTATCAAGTTGACTAAGAGTAGCACTAAATCTATAATACGAAATATCAGTTGCTAGGATAAATATTTTCTTGAAGTCTGGATAGCTAAGAATAAGGTAGGGTTGTTAATAGAGTGAAGTGGAGTAGGTTGGGTTAAAATCAGATAGAGCAAATCTTACTCCAACCCAACCTGGGTTATATTTCAAATTAGTACTCCAGGTTGTACTTTGGGTTGTATTCTAGATTGGTGCTCTGGGTTAATGCTCTAGGCTATAAGAATAATTTTGCTCCAGACCACTCCATATAGAGCAACCCGGGTTATGCTCCAGACCCCAACAGAGCAACTGTTCAAATTCATAGATTATTCTAATATAGTTGCACAATTAATAAATTATTTTTTTTATATGTTTTACAATACTTCTTTTAAAAGCTCAGATAGCTTAACTTTCTATGAAATGAGAGTAAATTTAACAGATGAATTTATATCTTCACTTTGCCTTATAACATATTCTTTGAATCTCTGTGAATCCTACTGTTTTTTTTACAATCTGATCAGATTACTATTACAATTTTATATGAGTACTGTTAAGAGAAAACCTGTCATCAGGCTTTCAATTCTATTTCGTACTGAATACAATTCCTAATAAATTAGATAGACTATATCTGATACAAATATTATTAAAAGCCTGATAACAGGTTTTTTCCTGATAGCACTCATATAAAATCACCTATCCTAGCTTTCCAAATGATATTACTAAGCTGTTCGACATTCCTATTATATTTGGATAATAAATAAATTTGCAATATGTTTAAAAGAACTTTAATGCATTTACCAAAGAAAAAAACTGTAAGAAACAAATAACCTGCTCATGACAATAACATAAAGTTAAATCTTAATATGACTAGCTATTTCAAATGATCGATGAAAATTCTGAGCAACCCAGGTTATAAGAAAAATTTTGCTTCAGAGTACTCTGATATGGAGCAACCCGATGAAGCAACCCAGATTTTTCTCCATATGGAGCAACCCGGATTCACTTCAGGTCACTCCATATGTGAAGTAACCCGGGTTATAAGAAATAACTTTGCTCCAGGTTACTATATAATTCTTAAAATCTCAACCCACTCCAATCTTAAAATGGAGTATAACCCGGGTTGCTCCAGAGTACGTTGCTCCATTAACAACCCTACTTGAATGGTTTTAGATTCTCTGAATATCTGAAATGAATCTATACAACTAGGAACTGGAAACCAGTGAGTCTAGAGCATTGAATTTGTAAATTCAAATTTTAATAGTATATGACAATGATAAAAAAAAAAAACTACGAACTGAGTTGCATCTGTACAAAATGTTAATTTTTCTATGCGGCATCCGAATTAAAATAAACAGATATACAGTTTTTTAATTATATATTATCATTGTTCAAGGCCACTTTTTATTATTTAAAGAACTTTATATCTAGATTTACTGGTTTTTGCTTACAAAAATAGTTAGTTGCTTAAAAATTATTTTATAGCTTTGGGTTGAATTATGGTATTCCAATTTACAAATCTTTTGCCGCAAACCATCTCTTTTATATGCCTGGCTTGTCAAAATTTACAATTAACTGAGTATTCAAAAAGATCACTCAAGTAACTTTGTCACCATCAACGAATTCTTATTTTATTCATTACACTAAAACTTTTTAATAAAAAAAAAAAATACCCGAAAGCCTCAAAAAAAAAAACAATATCGTCACGTTTACCTGCTAATTCATAATTACATATTTGTAATGTCATCAAAAATGTTATATAAATATACTAATATTATCGGAATTGGGGTTTGAAAATACCCACAATTTAGGCATCATTCTAGGTATTTACTATTTTATTTTGACATTCAAGAATAATTATCAATTGAGCAGTATTGATCAATAAACTAGCCTAAAATTGTAAAATTACAAAGAAATCAATACAAAAATTCTTACCAATCGAACCCAAAACTTAACTTTATAAAAAAAACACCATACTCTTTTTCATAAGTACAGAAATCACCTAATTATATCTAAATCGCATTTAAATCACATTTAATTTTACCTCGCAAATTATTATAATTATCATAATTCCTATAATTTAAAAAATAAATAAATTTAAAAAAGATTATCAAAATTTTCTGTTATGACCTTTACTTTTCTTTGTTATAGCCTTTAGATATCAGAGATTAGATTGTCAAATAATCAACATAATAAAAAATCTGAATAAATAAAGCCTGAATACTTAAACAACAATCTACTTTCTAAATGCGTATCTCAAGATGTTAACCGTGCAACCAAATCCAAAATCCAGGGTTGAAATAGGTGGTCGGAATTCATAAATTTCTCCCAAATAAAATGGTAGCCCACGTATTAAGCAGACGATAATTTTGCAATAGTATGATTGGCTGGTATTATTACTTAATGCCGGCTCTAAATTTTAGTTGACCTATAGAATTTTGGTGGCGTGGCTAATTTATCCCTAATCTAACAATTAAGACATAAATATATATACTATATATAATAAACGGAGATCCGTTAAAGCCAGGTTCGTTTATATAACGTCTAAATAGTGCATAAACTGTATTCTTGATACGTATGAATATAGATATAGTAACACTGACTGCATCAAAAAAGCAACCCTAACTCGAACCTGGCTTTAAACGTTCTCCTTAAAAGTAAAAAAAAAAATAACACTTTATAATCAAAGTCACACTGCATAAGCAAATTAAAAAAGCAAATAGATACTTATTTAAATTATGATGCACCAGTATCACTTCTAACAAGATTGCGAATACCTGTTAATTTGGTTTCATTTTCCGCTTTTTCAATTTCCAACTTTTGCACTTTTCTCAATAATTCTTGATTTTGCTTGGTTAACTCTTCAACCTTATTTTCTAATTCAATGATACGTGCCTTACCCTTAATATACAGTATTCCATTATAAATGTTAGTTCGTTATTGGCAGACCTGCACATCCATTAGATATAATTTTGGTCATTTGACCAAAATTTATCCCTTGTCAAATAATTGACTGTGCGAATAATGACTCCAAGTGAAAAAAGAAAGAAACCTTATCTATTGAGTTTTTAACAGCATCCATGCCAACTGATAATACTCGGTACAGATCTTCGGTAGTAGCTGTTGACTTTAAAGATTAAACACCAATTTATTAGATATTAGAAAAACAACGATAAAAATAAAACCGAAAAATAACAAATAAATAAAACTGTGGTGCTCCGAACGGGTCGGACCACCGACCAGTTCGGAACACCAAAATGCGTTTTATCTATTAAAAAATAAATAAATATAAATATAAATAAAATTAAAACTAAAATCACAAAATAAATTAAAAACCATGGTTAAAAGATAAACTTAACAAAATAAATAAAATTGTTGTAAAAAAGCAATCAATCTAAGGTAAGAATTAATATTACGCACTTCTAATTGCTGTCGTTCTTCACTTCGTTCTTCGGGTGGGTCTTCAAAACGCCCTTCAGATAGTTCCGCCGCACCACCCTCAGGGCCAGACTCCGCTGATAGTGCGCCAAGTTCATTTTCTAACGAAGATACAGTTCTCCGAGGCCTCTAAAAATCATTACAAATGTTAAATTATACAAAAACTATGCCTGTTATTAACAAGAATTAAAAAAAGCTACCTTTCGACTGTTGGTTGTTGTTTGTGGCGGAGGTGGCGATTGGTCTGGAAAGCCCCTAGCTGTCCCACGAAATTTTTTCCACCCCTGTAATTTTGACCAATCGAATTTTAAGATCAGGTGTAACGTAAAAAT